GATAATAGTAGCGATTGTCATAAAAAGACATTTTGTCGTAGTAAGATAGCAAAGGAAATATTCTACAAAACAATCACATAACTCGTCGAATATTCAGTCTCTTAGTCGCAAGCCTTATCTCGTATTTCTTTAGAAATAATTTCGGAAAAAATGACGCTGAGATAAAGTTGTACAGTACCATGCAACAAAACGTTGCACATGTATAAATAATAAGTGCTTTTCTCAATACACAACCCTTTGTAAACGGTAAGATATATACGACTGTGACATTATATATCCTTCGTATTATAAATTATGAGAAACTTCTAAAACTATAAGATAAAAGCTTGTCGCGAGATTCAGAATTGAGTTTGAGATGATTTATTTCCTTTGAAGTGTGGAAAAGGAAGAAACCAAGGACAACACAGAAAATGGCAATAATTACATCTCTTATGGCTTATCTTTTTAGAAGTGAAAAATAATTATGTATCTAATAATAATAAGTTAATATTATTATATACTAATTTAATAGTTTACTTAAAATGTTTCCTTCAGCTGCGTCAAAACTTAAATATATAATTATGTTTTTTAATATAAATAGAAAAAATTTTGCGTATGTAGATGAAAACAAATTGAAACATCTTTATGTAAAATAATAAAACATATTAAATTAATTAAATGAACTGTGGTATAAAAAAATCTGTTTTCATGACAGAAAAAATAGCTTTATTTTTAATTTTAATGTAACATATATAGTTATACTTTTCATTTCCATTATCTTACGCGTACGTTAACTGCATATGGTAAAAGATCTGTTATATATTTATATCATACCAACTGAATGATATACCAACTGGTGATATCAAATCATTTGAATCAATAAACTGAAGAAAAAAATAAAGATTATGTTAGAAAAGAATAAACTATGCAGACGAAATAGATACGTATAATTTTTATTTAATTTAATTAATAAAGTTTACTCTCTTTATTATAATTGTTATTTATTTTATACAAAGTTGTAATACTTTATACATGTTGTTTTATTTTGTTTTAGTCAATTCCTTTTAATATATTAAGCAATTTATTAAATAAATTTGAAAGTATTTTATATAATTTTAATAATTTATTTGACATGATTATGTATTTAATGATTATTTTTATTTACTTAATAATTGTAGCAACACACAGTAATGATGTACATTATGTATTTATTAATTATGTTACGATTATATTTCATGAAAAAGAACCAAACTGAATAACATGAATGATATGAAAAAATGATATAAATCTAAAATTGAAAACTTCTTTAAAAACATCTTGACTAGTATATTGTTGAAGATATTTAAATTTATATATTTTACATAGTAAATGACAGTACAGCATAAATATAATATAAGAACAATAATGACGTTGATATGTTCCTAAAAACTTTTATAAATTTCTAATTATAGCTCTTAGTATAATCGTGTAAGCATCATAAAATATGTTAAGAATGTTTTTAAGATCTATAGTCACATGATTATAATCACGTTTCTCGTACGACTCTTTATGTCCGGAGCATCTATAACTGCGATGATATGTTGCTTTATAAAGTTTCTAAAATTATAAGATAAACAGTAATATGGGTAAACTGCACTGTATCACAATAGTGAAGCTATAATGTATATTTTATCTAAATCTAATTTTCTCTAAATTAAAACTGATTGGTATTAAGAGGATTTTAACCGTATTTTTGTGTTACAACAATATTTATCTAAATATATTCTATGATATTATCATGTATAAAACTTGAAAGATAAAAATTGTTAGATCTTTTTTATCTTTCTTTCTCTTTTTCTATTCCTTTCTTGTAACATTTAGCTTTTGAGCCTAATTTTTTAAAGCATAAAATTTAATTATTGTATTTATTTAAAATTTTTTTTTAAAGTTATTTAGTGTATATACTAATATAGTCTATTAAATTGTAATAAACTTTCTACTACACACATACACACACACACACACACACACACACACACACACACACACACACACACACACACACACACACACTTACAAATAATTTTATTTAAATACTAGATAATTATCTTTTAGAGTATTTTTCTAAGTTATTGATATTAATATTTTAATAGATTACATATTTCTTATGTTTCAAAAAAAATATATTTTATATAATGTTATAATAATATATTATTTAAAGATCAAATTTTTAATAATTTTGAATATTTTAGGTGAGTTATCTTTATCCATTGTTTCATGTAAATATATATTATACTATATACGTAATATATATATATGTATATTACGTAAATATATAATATATAAATATGTTATACATATGGTATTTGTCTACTTGCGTGTGAACTGTGCGAAGTACTAATTAATATGATAATATTATTTACAAAATAGAATAAAGATAAAACAGAAATTGTGATGTTTACTACTCAATATTGCTAATATTATTTTACATATTCTTTTTATTATAAAATTGACAGGATTTATTTGAATATTTAAGCTTTCCTACAATGAGCAAATAAATAAAAGAAGATATATTAATACAGTTATAAATAAGTAATTATACTTACTAAATTTAATTCAAAACGAAATATGAAATAAAAATAAGAAATATTGTAGTTGCAATTTATCAAATAAAATATGATATAATATATACACAAATATATATATAAACAGAAATATTTTTATTCACAATCATATTTTTACCAGATGATGTATAAAGAATCCACAGAATTCCAAATGGTAATTATACGTCATCCGAAGTTAATGACAGCATTAACGTAATGTAGGAAGCGGATGCCTTCATGAGCTTAAAATAATGAAATATTAAATATATTATGTGTACATTTTTCGATATATAATCTTAAGTATTTTTCGTATAGAATATTTTTGTGTATTTTAAATATTATATAAAAAATTATTATGTAAAGTTTATATTTTTACACGCACATACACACACACATTTGTATATTTATTTTTATAGTTTTTATTAATATAATAAACTTTACCGAGCCGTAACTTTCCAAACAGATTACATACAATTTGGCCATTTTTACGCAATATGGTTTTGTACTTTTCATCATAACAAAAAGCACCATTCTTTTCACTTGTGAAGACATTTGATACCATCTTCCGTTATATCTAAAAATACAATATAATTTGTAACTAAAATTATAGTACTGTCAATTAAATCGATAACTTACGTTGCATCAGATATCTGAGAACTGTGATCTATTATCTTCTGCCCTACCCAACTATTGAAAAAAATTCTAGTACTTTGCATTAACAAAATCGGACAATGTTTTATTATTTTTGTTGTATCCATATCAGTAACAATCTGCACAATAAATGAACAAATTAGAAAATTATTGATCTGTTTTTGATTAATTTTTATCAATACAGAAGTGAATAGTTTCTTTCGCAATGTAAAATGATTCACTTGTTAAAATGATATTAACTGTTAAGAAGAATATATTATTTACCATGACACATGCAGAACATTGAAGTAGAATTCCCAAACCGATGTCAGTAAGGAAACATATTGCAAACGTCGATTCAATCAACTTAATTAGTCTAATAATAATTCATAATAAATGGAGTAGATAAAATGGATAAAATTAAGAAAGTATAATTATAACAGACTTCATATGATATTATATTTATATGAACCTTTCTGTTCTGATTTGTAACTGTATGCACTCTATCATTTTCTCAACATTTTTATCCACTTTAGATATGAGATCGGTATATTCCGATTTATTGTGCACATCCAGTTTTTCTAAACGATAACTGCAAATATACAATTCGATATGATATGAAGGAAAGAAATATTTTCTCTGATGAAAAATGAGTTAAAACTGAAATACCTCAATATGGCCAGAACACCACAGACGTGTTGCAACAATGCAACGTAGATTGTATCGGTTGCGATCGCTACTGCACTGCATGCAGCATATCCTGCAAACGTAATTACTAGCAAAATATAATAATACCTTTTCATATCTACGAAAAACTCGGTCGGATGCGGCATTTGCTTCGGTCTCGTTACGTTCAATGCCAGTATGGTGTCGAATATCGGTATAGTTATCGGAGCTGTCACGAAGCTAATTGCGCCCGTGCTGATAAAAACTGTTAAAAAATAACTGTTATTTTTTGCTTAAACAGTTTAGACAGTCGGTTATTAAGTACTTATTGTTAGATGGTACATAAATAGATTAATGTGAAGGTTCGACTCCTCTCGACATATTTTATTAAAATCCAGATATCATCGTGGTTCGATAACAAATTCCAATCGTAATTCACTTGCTGAATGAGCCTCGTAAACTGAGGACAAAGTTTCTTTTACGGGAAGTATCTTCTTATATTTGTTTACGTGCTTACTTTTTTATATTCCCAACGGAGACTACTTGCTTTCAGGAGACATATCCATACGCCAGCAAAAGTTGACAGAATATCGTAAATATCATCTAAAGTTTTTGTATGTTTAAATAAATATCCGATCTGTTAATAAATTATCGCGTATTTTATCTAATGCAGTACTTGCAACACTTGTTTCACTAATTCATAATAGATAAATTAAATCAAATATTACGAAAATAGCAAGAAAATTTACAAAATACCTGTGGCAGTAATATAATCAATATACCAAGTATTGTACAATAATAATTTCTGTTTTTATTAAATGATAATTGAAATGGCCACAGACCGATGAACGAGAGTAATAGTTTGTTAACTCGGAAATATCGAGTATCAAAGACCTCCATTATATAACTTGTGTTTATGTTGAAATAGAATTCTTGAATAACACGAAGTAAAGTTTCCGTCAACCGCGTGACTCATTTGATATTCTCTTGGGGTGTCATGCCAGTGACAAAGAAATATGTATTGTAATATGTCGATTTAAATAGAATCAGTAATAAGAATAGGTACGGTTAGACGATATGCGAGAAGTTTTGCAATTTTAATTTCGCCAACATCACGTGAAGCACTACGTATGGTAGCGTTTAGTTTTATGCAATATAGCTGGTTTTGTAAAACAGATGATATTGCTGTTATGTACTGTTCATATCATATAATTGATCGCTGTATGTCGGTTTATAGAACATATCGATTCTTGGATACATACATATTTCTTAAAAGCGAAGAAGAGCTTTTAGTTACAAAATGATTTACAAAATGAACTACGATATATTATTTTACTTATATTGAATGGATTTATGTGATGAAATTTGAATTCAAAGAACGTATTAAACAAATATAAGAACAACATCAACAAATAATTATGTAATCATGTATA